ACCACTTTGATTCACAGTGCCACTTCCAGTTTTCTGGTGGTTAAGTGGAGATCAGAATCTCAGGGACCTTCCTGTCTGGGCTGGCTTTGAACCAAGATCCTCAGATCTCAACTTCCTGAGTAGCTAGATTACATGTGTAAGCTAACTGGAGCCTGGGTAAATTGTCTTTTTGACTTGTAACTTATTCTTAGTTGTGCAACTATTGTTACAATAGAAAGTTAGGTAACCTTAGGATCAAAATAATTTTGGGCACACGAGAATTAAAACAATGCTAACACACACACACACACACACACAAACACACACACACAACACACACACACACACACACAGCTCATGCTAGAAGGTACAGGAGAAACTGTGAGACCAAATGGGATTTCTAGGGGATTGGAACACAGAATGAAGATCACCATGGCCAAGGGCCATTGTGACAGAGGAGACAGGTATAGCCACCAAAGCACTGTCACAGAGGCAAGAGGAGTAATAATGATAGACAAGTGCAGAGAGGATCCCCAACACCAAATTGGGCAACATGACTTTAAATTCGTCTCTGTAGAGAAGAACCCAGCAGATAATTGTACTTTGGAGTCCGTCACCAGCATTCTAAAAGAGTTCCCATTTGCCATTTGACCACCTGAGATTTCAAAGAAATGAATTTCAACGTGTCTGCTTAGTCAGGACCCAGGAAATAGGCCTAGGGCTGGCTGGATGTCCAACAGGAAAGAAACATGGATGCAGCAAGAAATGGGTCCAGAATAGTCCCAGGAAAGGTATCTCAGTAGGTAGCAGAGAGGAAAACTCCACCGGATGGGAGGGTCACCAGCATTCGGGGGCTCCTCACCTGCACCTTCTTTTTTTTTTTCTTTTGCCAGTCCTGGAGCTTGAGGTTTGGGCCTGGGCACTGTCCCTGCTTTTTGCTCAAGGCTAGCACTCTACCACTTGAACCACAGCACCACTTCTGGCTTTCTCTGGGTATGTGGTACTGAGAAATCAAACCCAGGGCTTCAGGCATGCTAGGTGAGCACTTTACCACCAAGCCACCCTCCCAGCCCTTCACCTGGACCTTCTGACAGTACTGGAAACTAAGAAGAAACCAGCTCTTCAGCTGGCCACTGGCAAGCACTCTACCATCCCTTGAGTAAAATGAAAGTGTGTGAATACACCCTGATCCCTAAACCAGTGTTCTGATAGCCCACAGGAAATCTTCTCTAAGGCATAAAGTCCCCCAGCCTCCCTTCACTGGCTGGGAGGGGTGAACCGTGCCTCGTGCCCTGGGTAGTTATTAATTCCAGGATAAAGGCAGTAGGTATCAGCTGGGCTGTGTATGCCATACCCACTTTCCTGACCGAGAAAGAATGTCCTTAGTCTGCTTTCATACAAGTCCAGTCAAGTACGATATAAATAAAAACAACAACAGCAACTAGATAATCAGCCTGTGAATCCCCAAAGTCCAAATGTTTTATCTTTATCTTGCAAAATATCAGGCTTCACCCAGCTCTTTGGAGGTTAAATGAAAGAGACTGGCATTATTGGGATTTCTTTCTCATCATCCATTTTTACATTTCATTGCTTCAGAAATAAAGGGAAATCAAGAAGATGATGTGCCACATCATTGAAAAATAATATCTATTAAAAGGAAATTTTATTTTGAATTACATTTTGGAAAGAAAGATATTTCCTTCCAAATGCATTAAATGCTGTGTTGCAAGAGTGAAATGAACACATCACAAGTCAGTGGGACATAAAGTTTCTAATTTACCCAGGTCTCGAAGCTGGAATTGTCAAGCCAGTCGAAACGAGCTTAAACACTGCCTGGCAGCGGAGGGTAGCATGTGCCTATTGGGTCAGGCTCACTGGGGAACCCCGGGATTCCCTGCTTGTTTCCTGCCAGAAGGTTACATCTGACACAACTTCCTCCACTGGAGGGGAACAACCTGACTATTAAAATAAGAGGCTACGGGGAGCTCTATGTTTCTACATACTGCATATTCATCCAGCAGGCCAACTTGGGATTGGAACAAGCACTATCTCAATTTACATCAAGACTCAACTTTTAAATGGGTACCAGGTTAAAATAAAAGCAAGACATCAGGTCAGTGGAAGAATTAGTCTCATCTCATTATGACATATCTCCTGAATGACACGGTATGTGACGACTGCCATCTGATCATCAGATGGGGACGGGCTCAGACAGCTTGTGATCTCTGTGCCCTGAAGCCTGAATTCATGCCCTTACTAGAAGGTGTACCTTGGAGATGTTAGGGGGGAGTTAAGGTCCAGACACAAATCATGGGAAGTTTTTGGGTTTCTCATTGTTAATAAATGTTATATTTACATTATATTGTGTCTGCTAAATACACAATAGCATTTATCTTCAGCAACACACCACTCATTCAACCGTTTGTTAATATGAAATGCTAACAGTCATCTGATCTGTTAGAAAATACTGTTGATAGATTGTTAAAGACTGGATTGCCATAAAGCACTAATTTGGGAAATCTCTGCTATCTATGGGGTGTAATAAAGCACAGAACAGCACAATGAGGTGTGCCTGGGGTGCCCAGCACGGACAGGGCTAGGGAACAGCAGCTGCCCATGGGACTATTTAAGGGAAACTTCCGCCAGCAAGCTTCTAGAAGCTGCCATTCAAAGCAACTGATATTGACTACAATTTCATCCCAGATCCATCATTTGTCTAAGTTGATGTTTATACTTGATTCTGTTCAAACACTATTTATAATAAACATCTTCAGGTATTTTACCTTCAGGGAAGGCTTAAATAGCATTCTTTGTGCAATCCTCTCCCATTTATGTGTTGAAGACAAGGTCCCAAGAGGATTGGAGCTGGAGGCAATTAGGTCTCTCAATGGTTTAGGGAAAACCTCAAGGGACCCAACAAACGAACAAATGGATGGCTGTCCCCAAGTCAGGAAGAAGTTCTCACGGGAGATAACAGAGTCTGCCCCTTAATGCCGGACCTAGACTCCAGAATGCTGAGCGATTTAGTCTGTCATTAAACTCTCTCTGGGTAGCAGTCTTGTAAAATTATCAGCCAGCAATGATGGAGGATCTCACTGAGGTTAAAATGGAAGAGTTGTACTAGGCCTTAGCAGCGCTCACTATAGATCACCACAAGCACAAGGAAGACAGACATCACCTCCACACTCTCTCAGGTGGGAAGAAGTCAGAAGGGCTGGGGTAGAGAACTGCTCTGGCGGACCTAGCAGTGATGATCAGCAACATAACCCTCACCATCCCCCACCGCCAAGGAGCTGGTGAAGAGCTCGCCTTCCTCCAAACGTTCAAGGAGAGAGCCCTAATCACTGTGATATGATCCTGATCATTTATGATAAATACAACGGACAAAAGTGACAGGGGGGAAAAAAGGCACAGCCACTCTCTGCAGTCTGTTGAGCCATCCAGTTCAATGGTAATTCCTTTTTCTCTCCTGAACCAGTTAAACAAGGTGAATAAAAATGCCCTCCTTGACTTCCCCTGCCATCTGTACACACACCTGCGTGATCCTCTCTCTCCTTCACCGACACCTTCATCGTGTAGCTTCAGCTACAAGATGTTTCCTTGAACTCTCCACATGACTGAATTCCCTCTCATCCCAGACACGAGTGGCCTTCCAAGGCAGGAGGGGCCTGATCCACCTCATCTACCCATCCAAAGGCCACATCTGTCCTCATCACCAGTCCAGCCTATTTCAGAAAGAACTGTTTCCTCCAGACTCAGCTTAACCACCAGGCACTGGCAGAGTGGAACCTTGCCAATCAAGCCCAGGATCCAGCCTGTGACCTGCCATTCCATTCTCCTCTTTCCATCCCTTGCAACATCTCCACATCCCCCTACTGCTGATCCATACTAGTTACAAGTTGGTCCGTCATCTGCCCATGCTCTGAGTGTGAGCCTGGAAGAGCAGAATGGTGCCAGGCTGCCCGTCATCCACTCAGTGCTTCACATGAACTGGACAGACAGTGAAAATTCAACAATGCAACTTCATGAGCAAAATGTGCTGACGAATATTAATATGAACTGCGAGCTTGTATCAAGAAAAGATCTAGGTGAGCAAATACAGTTACCATAACCAATGTACATGGGTAAAAATGGAACCAGCAAACTGAAGGGATGGGTGGGGTTGGGAGAGATGGAGGAGAAGGATGGAAGGGGTAACACTGATCAAGATGAACTGAACCCACAAACTGACATGTTGAATTGACACTTCAAGATAATACATAAACATAATAAAATATTCAAAGATAGTAAATTAAAAGAAAACAATAAATAAAAGAATATTTTGTCAGAAAAAAAGATATATTTTTGACCATAACAGTAAGAAAGGAAATTATGCATTGTGAGAAATTAAAAATCATAGAAGCTGCTGGAATAAGAGTTGGGATGGAGAGACACCAGTAACTATCTGGGGACTGCCCAGGTCCTAGGCTATGTGTGCCATCGACACTAAACTGATTTTTGGATCTGAATAGTTTATTATCCATTTAACATGCATTGCTCTCTACATTGGCTATAAATATTGTGCCATTTATGCCCCAAACTATATTCCGTAAATGTTTTCATAAAGCAGGAATAGTTTGCTGTGAGCATATCTTTTACAACAATCAGAACTAACCATGACAATTTCAGTAAAATACTTCACCCAGCAATAGACTGAAGCAAAGTGTTCTGTTGTCTTGAGTGACCTAAATTAGAGGGGTCTTGCCAAGAAGATACTTTCTATGAGTGGCTGAGAAGCAGTAGCTAAAGCAGAAGGCATTCTCTCTCAGATACAAATCATGACTGATACAGTCCAAGAAAAGAGTGAAATTAGGATTTTAAAAACGACGCACCAAGGAAGACAAGGTGAAGCGAGCATCCTGGGTGCTGGTGACTGGGAGGCGAGACACACTCAACACGGAGATTTCAACGGAACGATTAGAAGTTAAGGCCTCAGATAAGAAGATGGAAGCCAGCTGCCTGGAGGAAATAGAGGCCCCTACCTGTGGCCAGATAGATGATGTGGACAAGGGTGTCTCTGCCCTGCACCACGTCCACGGCCACGTGGGAGAAGCGGCTGTTGTCTTCCATAAAGGCGGGCACTGGCGTCACTGGCTGCACCACCTCGTGCATCAGAAGGAATTTCTGAGCATCCTGTAGGTTTCTTTCTGTCAAGTTCACGTACAGGCCCTGGTCCACGGTGCCACACTGCAAAGAAAGACAGGCTGTGTTACCGGAACCACGCCACAGCTAATGCGGCCAGCCCAGCTGGAGGGTGACTGCAAACTGGGTTAAGCTGAACATGTGAGTGAATGCAAAAGCTCTCTACGTCTCCGCTTGCCCTGACCTCCGCCTCTCAGGTCTTCCCAACATACAGGTGAGGAAGCTCTCAACTCCACTAGAGAGATGATCAGGGGTTTTAATGTATGTGGACGTTGTTACTGACTTCACTCTTCATTGTCTGTTGGTTCTCTTGGGAGCTGTCTGGTTAAAGCATACTATGATACATGTCTGACAAAGCAGTCTCATGCTGGAAATGAAGCAATCCCACACATTACGCAGATCCACTAGTTGTCCTATTGCAGCTGTAGGTTTGTAAGCAAACATCTATCCCATGACAACAGAAGTTATATTTTAATCTATATTCTATCTATACATGATGTACTATCACATAATTTAACTATAAAAGCTTGACTCTGTACTTATATTCTCTGCTAGAAGAAATAAAAAAGCATGGTTAGATCTAGGAAACAGTGTATAGGTCTAAAATGAGAAAAGAAGATAAGACAAAGTAACAAAGAAGAGCGGAGGGAGGAGTGAGAAGAGAGTGGCAAGGAAGAAAGGAGAAGAAAGAAGAACCAAGGAAGAAGCCAGAAGGGCACAATTTTCAAGTAGAAAAACATCATGAGGTAGAAGCTGGGACCAAGAAGGAGTAATCAGGCCTGAAAATTGCTGAGAATTAAACTCAGGGCTGTGCTACAAGAGGTCAGCAGGTGTTATGTATGACAGTTTCTGGCAAAGCCAAGGTTCAAAGAAAGTAAGAGAGGAAGTACAGCACTCTGGAGGCCAGCACAGAATCAGACAATTACCACCCAACTTTCTCCTTTTTTAACACATTTTAAATCCTGCTCCACATAAGCGACTGACCCTCAACAGAACTTCAGGTAAGTTGGAGGCCATCCTTCATGACACCACCAATTACAACATGTCATTTTTAATACTTAGTTTTGTAAGAGGTTAGAGGTACAAGAGCGCATGATTTTTTTTCACATGGAGAAACGCTTTTTTAAATGGTAGGATATTATTTATATCAAAGAGTAACAGGATATCTGAGAGATAAACTTCACTGCAAACAATAGAAAAGGGATTTAAGAAGTGATACAATGCGGCTTACCAACAATATGCATATCAAGACAAATATATATCTAAGAAAACTTGCAACAAGTAAGACAGATAGCTGGCTAATATCACAAAATTGTATAAAGCCAGAAGACAAGAATACCAAGCCATGTTTGTAAGTGTATATTAAAATGATTCTTTCAAACTGTGCACTTAGCAATAATTAAAAAGTTGACTAAAATGGACATAGCATTTAGCTGAACAAATGCACATTACCATACTTTTCCTGGAAAACAAGTATTCGGAACTTACCGATCTCTATCAAAATATCAATACATTTTCACTGGTACTTCTTTTAGGAATTTATCCTAAATGGGTAACTACAAGCTGTGTCAAAAGACTTGTCATAGCAATGAAGTGACAATCCACAACAGCAGCCATGTCTAAAAGCAAGGCACTAAGGACCACTTTTAACTATCCTTATGTTATTTCTAATGAGAGTACAGAGGGGTAATGCTTTTTTAAATGAATAGTAATTTTTTTGTAGCATTTGATAAAATACTACATGCCATAAAGTGATAGGCCCATCAAAGAGTTAGGGAATCTTGGAACTAAATGGATTTCATACATTGAAATGTAATACCACACCAGGGCAGGCATGCAGGGCATCATATGAGGAGACTGTGTGAGTTCACGCAAAGGCTAAAACCTGCCTCAGATGACCTTAATAGCTCAGATGTGACTCTAGGGCCACATCATCTCAGGGGAGGTTGGTTTTCTGCCTCTGTCTTTTGTCTGTGAAGTTGGTAGGAAAATTACTGTGCTCCGTTCTCAGTGGTGATGTGAGAACAGTGGAAATAATTTATAATTGAAAGTCACAGCAGATGCCAAAGAACAAGATGAAGCACCTGGCACGGAGACGGCATCCAACCAATGGCAAATGCTAAATACATTTGTCTTAAAGCAGGCCAGCAAACCCATGGCCCACAGAGCTGAAGAGCACACATGGAAATGGTGAGTGGACAGAGAAGGAATGGGGTCTGTGTGTGAACACACATGCTTGGCGGGGAAGGGAGGCAGGGAGAGGTTGCACAAGAAGATTTTGTGTAATAATATTTGGAGCATGGTGACATTGCCTATTAGCAGTTTCTAATTGTCCTTAAGTAGTTGTCCAAAGAGGTTTCCTCATGTCAGTTTGTGAGTACAGTGCATCTTGATCAGCATCATCCCTTTCATCACTCTCTTCCATGTTGACCAACATCCCCCCCATCCTCATGATTTACCTAGTTCCATTTCCGCAAGCCCTCCACTGAGCTCAGGTGATATCTGTGCAGGTGAGCACTAGCTTAGATTTGTGTTTGTCATTGGGCAAAGTTTGCACACATGTATTGTTTGGTGCACATGGTATTTTTAAAACTTTGGCACTCTCTTTCTGTAATTTGTTCTTTGCTTCCAAACACAACAGGGGCTGCCCAGGAGACATCAAAATAGTACCTTGCCCACAAAAGTGTTTTCTAACTAACTCTATTCAATATCAGCTCATGTGCTACTCACTTTTCCATCACTGTGACAAAAATACCTGAAATAAATACCTTAGAGAAGAAAAGTTTATTTGGCCTAGGTTAAGAACACAATTGAGTTCATAACCAAGTGTTCCTTGGTTGCTAGAGTTAGAAAAATAAAGCATGTTTATTTAGGGAAAAAAAACTTTGGCACTCTGAAAACACAAAGGCAAAAATCTCCCACTTCCCTCAAGGAATCTGAACTGAGAGCAGTCTGGAACTGGTAGTGCCTGGCAAGAACATCTAATACTCATATTTATTCCTGGGCCCATGTCCCTCTAAAGTTATCTGCCTATAAGGCCAAGAAAGCCATTGGAAGTATTCTTTATCATTTCTTTAGGTCTGATACCAGCCTATGATAAGTACCCCATCTGGAGATTCTGTTCCCAGGATTTTGAAATTATTCCAGTTTATAGGATGTATTTATTGGCCAATAAGCAACTCACCAAGCTCTCTCAGAACTGTGAACTCTCCACTTGTGCCTATAATGTACAGTTTCTGTGTGTGCACTTTGTAGAACCCTGAGGATCCTGTGCAACAGGAAAACAATAAAAATGGAAAAAGTATAGCCTTTGCCCTCACGAGGCTTACCAACATGGTTGTCACACCAACACCATTTCAAATAAGAAGGTAATTATTTTATGAAGTAGGGGAGGGCGGGGTTGGTTGAGCTCAGGAACTGGATGGTATTCTACCATTTGAGCCACAGTTCTACTTCTGGGGTTTTGATGGCTAATTGGAGATTAGAGTCTCATGACTTTCTTGCCCCAGCTAGCTTCGAACTATGATCCTCTGATCTTCAGGCTTATCCTTGTCCAACCACACTGGCAAAACCGGATCTCACCTTACCACATGGTTTCCATGGCACCTGCTTCACTTCCCTGTTCCCTCCATCTCTCTGCCAACATGCACTTTGTATGAAAGACTCCTGAGGCTATAGATACATTTATAGATACTCCTATGCATATAGATGCATTTCTGCATTAGCTCCTCCAGGGCAGCCCTTTGTTTTGTTTTCCTATCTGAGAGGATTTATTTCTGGTTGGCAGCAATCAAAATTGTGCAGAAGATTCTGGAGTCTGCCTCCCCTTTGTTGTGAAACTGGGTCTGGACAATATTTTTTAGTGGCTGGGGAGGTTCGTATAAAGCTCAATGACTGTATGACTTGGGACTAAAATGTCTGCTCCCACAGATACTTACACAGCACCCACGAAACATTCTAGGTTTCAAGTTCCACATGTAAAGGTAGCTTTCTGTCATTTTTTCATTGCTTTCAATTGAGATTTGCGTACTTTTACTATATAAATGCTACATGAAATTCTAAATGTCAACAGGAAAATCAAGAATACAAAGATGCTAAGCTATTTTCACTGTGGGTCATTGCAAAATCAAGACTTCTATGTATTTTTGATGGAGAGATCTTTAGTGCAAAATGAATCCCCATACTGTGCTGTTCCTAGATGAGTTCATGGAGGTCAGTCAGCATGCCTATGCCAAGATAGCTATTAAATACAGAGGAAAATACGTGTCTGTATAGGAATTACACAGACAAGCACCGTAAGTTGTAAGTTTAGTTCTCCCCAAGTTTTAAATCCATCAAAGGCAGACTAACTCATCTAAAGAAGAAGATTCCTGGCTGAAGTGCATGCCCACATACAACCTTTCTGCATATTTTGTTTGTTATGCAGTACAGACCTGCTTCCTCCAATAAATGCCCCAAACCCAACAACCCACCACCCCCAAACAAACCAAAACACCTCCTTTAGTATGACACTGGGAGCCCCAGAAAATGAAGATGTGCTAGTGCTAAAATTACATTGAGATGAATGAACTAAAAGTTATGTTATCCTCTGCCTGGAGGTGGGAAAGATCACTTCACTCATTGTAAACTCCTGCAATAGAATAGAATAATGAATTGCAATACAAGAAACATCATTAATAGTTTAACCTTCCTAATTTTACAAGGGTTTTCTGAAAAGGAATGATATATTTTATTGTTTAATGAAGACAAAGTATACATTCACACCAAATAGAGGATTCCCAAGGGTGCCAAATACATGATGAAGTAAATAATGTGCAGTGGAATTATACTGACATTCATATGTATTTGCATCATTTCTTCCCTCATTTTAATGGAGAAAGTACAAATGAGAAATGGGCCAATGTTTTGTCAAGCAGAGTAGCAAAGGTAGGTAACATGTAAAACTTTCATGTTATTTCAATCCTTTACTCTTTCAAAAGACATTTAAAACAAGCCAAAGAAACCCTCAATTATAATCCAATGACACTTGCCAAATCTTTTAAACAGAATTCAGAAGAGCGGTCTTCCTGCTGGATAATGATGGTTACTAGTAGTCATTGTGTGGGATTGGTGGGGACTTCATATCTGAGGGTGGAGATGGTGGTCTCAACTCATCTGTCCTGAAGTTCAGTGGACTTCTCTGTGTGAGGTGCAATCTTGCCCATAATGCACTGCTGTCAGTTTGTTGTTGATTCATATGTAAAGCATCTAGCACAAGTATCAGAACTTGAGGATTCTGAAAATTATCGCCACTGCACCAGTGGTGGGTATAGATGTGTTGGCAGTAAAGAAGGCTTGTAGGGAAGGAGACTGCTTTTATAGATTTTATTTTTGTGTCCTACCTAAATGCTGTATTCAGAGATCGGTCTTCAGGAAGTAATTAGTGTTAAATGTGGTCATAAGGTGGGTGCTCTAGTTCCCTGGACTGGTGACTTTATAAAGGAAGAAAAGAGAGCAGAGATATTTTATTTTTCCTTCCATGCATGGGAGGATACAATGACAAGGTGGTCATTACAAATAACCTGTTTAAATAACCTCACACATATTCCTTCAAGAACTGTGAGAGAATTATCAACTGTTTAAGAGCCACCCAAAGATTTTCCCTTTTGTTACAGCAGCCCAAGAAGATGTATACACTTGCTGACTCTTCAAAAGTAAGTAGGTTCATCTTTGAGTCTCAGCTTCTTCTGGATGCTTCGACAAGGTGATTTTGAGTCCCTTACAGCTAGAACACTGGAATTTTGTGATCGGAGGGTGGATGACCCTCAGCTCTGCTTCAATTCTCCATCTGCCACAACTGCATTCTGCCCTCCCTGCAGGAAGCCTTGCCATATCTACCAATTAGAACTCTAATTCTGTTTGTGCATCTCCAATGCTTTGTGCCCTTGGCCCTATTCTTTGGAAAATCATTCATTAGGGACCAGCAATCCTGGGAACATAGAATCTGTCATCATTAGTAGTCATTGAAGCCCAGATTCTTAGCCCACTGCAGAAGGCTGGCCTTTTTCAGTTCACCATCAGGCGTCACAACTCAACAAAAGGCCCTTTTTGGTGCAGGCGCCATAGTTGACAAAAGGACTGGTCTGTTTTCATCAGCCAAGTATATTGTAGGGCTGTGTGCAAGAGGCCAGGAGAACTGCAGCTGCACCATGCATGCTCCCAGGTTTCAGTGTCTCAATCTCCAAAGAAAGCTCTAAGTTCTGCACAGGGACTTTCCAGAATACCCCAATCCCCTGAGCTTACCTGGAAGTTGGGGTTGGGATTGGGATAAGGCAGCCAGGCCGAGCGCGAGTTCTCCTGGTACTTGAAGGGCCCATTGAAGGCCTGAGAGATGGCACTCAGGTTGAAGACACACACAGCAGAGGCAGCGATGCTGTTCCTGGAGGATGAGGAAGAGAAAGGAAGAGGTGGATGAGAAAGCCCAGCAGGGACTTCCACCGTCCACCCATCAGCCACGCTGCTGAGCACCTTCAAGATGCCTCAAACCTACAGCCCCTTAAACATCCTAAGAAATAGAGTCAGAGCACTGCATGGGCCTTTTTTGTGATTGCTTTGTGAAGAAGAACATATTTTGGTATTAAAACAAGGAGAGTCAACAGATCTGATACTGATAATCTACCAGGGGGATTGATTCAGTCAGCTACTGAACTGGGGGAAACAAGAAGTTTTGAAGATCTGTGTGTTAAATTCTGGAAGGAAAAGACTTTCTCCTCCGAAGGAGCGAGCGTCTGTATCAGTCTTACACGGATCCCAAGTGCATTTACTTATTCAGTGGCTTTAGCTGGCAGCAGTCATTTTCTTTTAAATCTCCAGAGATTTGTGTTTATTTGTCATTCCTCACAAGATAATCAGCTGAAAGATTTTTGCAAGGAGTGCCTGTCAGACTGTTTATATATTTTTGTAAAACGACAAATCCAAAGAATCAAGTAGGAAACAATTTTGACATTAGCACTGACATATAAAAATCTGAAGCTTTAATTTAGAATTCAAGTACTTCAGAAAGAGTCATAAATGGGAGGCGTTAGAAGGTCAGTGCCCTTTGACATGAATGGAAATTGGAAGCAAATATTGTGGGTTAAATTTGCATTTTTAAGCTTCATTGTGGATCTCACAGGGAAAAGGAGAAATTGAAAGGAGTATGTATATAATTTTCATATTAATATTCTAACTGGTACTATGTCTACTTATATCACGTTTTTCCTATATCAAAAGGGAAATTGCAAATTCCAGAACTATGGTATTTTGTTCATCTGACAATAAGTAGTTGCAAGATACTACACTACAGGCTGTCCTCTTTCTTACTAAGGTCAGAAAAACTTGCAGAAAGCAAAAATGAGGCAGACTTGGTGAGGGCAAGACACCTGGCCACAGTCTGGGGACATTCATTCACATGAGTCCTGAGCGGCTCCAAAGACCAAGACTTGCATTCTTTGTGAGAAGTAGAGGGGAGGAGAGAACATCTCCAGGCCAGCCCTGGAGGGCAGAGATAGGTTTATCTTGGCATCAACGAGGACCAATGTGAGCCCAGTGGCACCAGTGCAGGAGAGAGGTAGGCTCTACACATAGTCTTTCATACTAGTGTCCTATTTCAATACATTGGTAAAGAAGAACACAAGTACAGGGAGACAACAGCCTTTGGACATGTAACTACACTTCAGTAACAACAAGAAACCAACAGTGCTGGATCAAAAACAGCCAGACACAGAGTTAAGATTCTCCCCAGTGGCCACTCTTGGGCTAAATACAGTGGCATGCGTGTGGGGGTCAATGAAATTCTCTGTGAGTCTTCTTCTAGGACCTGGCAGAGACAATCTAATTGTTCCACAAAGAGGCTACAGATCTAAGATTCTGACTTTCCAGATGAGCAAACAAATGCACAGAGAAGGTGCTGAGCCCAGGTAACAGGCTATAGGAGGTGAAGCAGGATTTGAACCTGTCTTACCTCATGCTCTTGATAGTCTGGCCATGACGCTTGTTGATTAAAGAAGAACCTAACTCCCTTCCTATAAGAACCACTCCATTCACATGGCTCTGAATCAGCCACTTGAGGCTCTGCTCTAGTCCAGAGAGTCCCACGGATGTTCCCGTAGCTGCAGCTTCCTCCCTGGTGTGTGGGGACCGCTACCTACTTCTGGTGAGTGGAGCATCCCTGGAGAAGCAGCCGTTCTCTGTTGCTGCCTAGTCCAAGCTTAACTTGCCCTAAGAGGGTCAGAGAGGAAAGGCATGCCTGATTCGCATATCCCTCCCTTTCTCTGCCCCTCCTCCACTTCTGGGGATGGACCCTCTGGCAAGGGTGCAGCCATCGTTTCCCCCGGCTCCCTGCATACAGAGGAAGTCACTCCAACTCCAGGCTACTTTGCCCTTTTGAACATGTTTGCTTAAAGCTGAGGGCAGTATCTGTAAGCTCAAATGAGCTTACATTTGTAAGCTAATGAGGAGTTTCCATCAGTGCCAAGATGGCTTCAAATAACAATCAAGTGATCACATTCCTTCATTTAGTTTAACTTGTTTAACTTGTCTCTAACCAGGGTAGGGGGGAAAAGTTTCAAGAAATCTACTTAGTGAGCCAAGCAACAGAGGAAATGAACATTTGCTTCTACTTGAAGTTGACTTGAAGCCAGCTTAGAAAAGGTGCTCCTATTGGTATGTATATGTGGTGTGTGTGAGAGAGAGAGGGGGAGAGAGAGTTTATGTTTAATACTTCCACTATTTATTCTCCTTAGGAACGATGACCAATCAAAAACTTTCCTCAGTAACCTTCACTCCAACTTTACAATCTAGATAGCTATCTACAAATATTAAAACATACTGTTGCCATATATTTTATCTGTATACATCTATAGTGGTGAGACAATATTTTTTAGATATTCAAAAAACCTTAAAAACATCCATCACAGTAGCATATTATGTCCTGCAGCCCAATCACAGACTAAGGGGGAGAGAAAAATCAGAGGCACAAGGATAGAGTGGGCCAAAAAGCTCCTTTTCCCTCCATTCTTCTAATGCTAGAAACACTTAACCAAATATAGAGGCAAACTGAAACTCCAAATCACAATGATTCAGAGATACGAAATTACTGCTTTCTTTAATCTTATCTTCTTTCAGGTTAAAGCAAGTTTGATCAGGAATTCAACCATTAATGGAGAGAATAAAAACCAAGATTGGAAAAGGAGGAGAGGAGAGATGTATTGTGGAATTAGAGATGATGGGTCAGAAATGTCTTCCCAAGACCTAGGCAGAATAAGTGCTGAAAAGAAGAGGAGCGATGTGATTTTATCTGTCAGCAAATAAGCTATGTTTTGGGTGACTTCTGGCATAGGGTGCATCTGCAACACTGAAGAGGTATCGAAGATTGTCTGAACCTCTCTCACCACGGTCTGAATGGACTATTCACCATCTTGGAATGGTTTGGACATGGCACTTACAGAACCTTTAAAACTGGTGTTTTTGTTGTTGGCATTTTTTTTTTTTTGCTCAGGGAATGGATAGCTGGGTAAGCCAAGCTCCCATTGTGTGGAAAATTGATGTCAACTGAGCAACAGAACATTTATCTTGTGCAGCCCACACTATTTCTTAAACAAGGTTATGGAAGAGAAAACTAACTTTAGAAACCATAAATTGATTTTTTTTTAAAGCAAATTCTCAAGGAGGAAAAATGACCTCTGATGTTGAAAAGCAGAGGACAGGGACTGTGGAGGGGACTTCGCTTCCTTGCGTCTTCTCAGCATGAAGCCGGGGGCATGAATGTTCTCAACCGAGGAATTTGAACACTCTACAGAAATGGGACATGCTCAATGGGCCAGAAAGACAAGGAGGAAAGAGGCAGGGACTGCAGAAATGCACTGCAGGCTTCTGAAGCCAGACATGAAAAAGTGAACTAAATAAAAATGTGTGGGTAGTGCCACAGGGTTACTTACTGTCTTGTTCACCCAGGGCTACAATTTCCAAGGACCAGTACAGCCATCAATGGTAAAGCTGGGATAATCCCAGGGAAGGCAGCACTCCTGGCCACCTACCTAATTGATCCACATTTCTTACACATCTAGAACAGATCCTTTACATTAGACACAAATGGTTGACTTTTGCCTGAGTTGTTGGGCCTCTGGACTGGAATCAGAACCCCATGGTAGGGTGAGACGCAGCATAACTGATGTCTAAGGAAGCGTCCCCAGAGCCTCCGGGTGCTCGTGAAGAGGCAGTTGTTCTCACTGAGTTGCCGTAGCACCCGCCATAGATGGGAAATCAATGCAGGGTCAGTGGAGATTCCATTCATCTAAGAGAAGATGAGTGCTCAGGGAACTTCAGCAACACTGCCCAGTCCAAATCCCGTCTGCCCTGATGTTAGGAATATTATCCCAAAGGAAAAAAAAATACACTATAATGTTTTCAAAAACACTTTGTAAGTAAAGTCGTCATTTAAGAAAATATATGACCAAGTTAGCTGTCTTCCAGAACATGGTTTAAAGTACAGTTCTGGGAAAACACGAATGTGCCTTTCACATAAAAGCAGAGGTTCAGGCAAGCATTATATTATCTGAAGATCAGGCTTTGCAGACAATGGTGCCTTCATTGTACACAAATGCACGACATATTTGCAGAAAAGAAAATACGTCTAATATGTGCCAGTATCTTAGGAAGTGCCTAGAACCCATTCACAAATCAGGAAGAAGTAATTTGTAATAGAACCATTTGATAATATGCTTACTCGAAGATGGATCAAAACTTTTTCATTAAGCTTTATCTTCCTAATGCCATTTTCACCAAGCGCCTATCTTTTTCTAATATTTAATTCATATAGAAACGTCTCTGTTTATTATTTTTTGGCTGTGGGCCCAGAAAAGTAAGCCCAAGCTCCTCTGAAGCAACTTTAAATGTTCAGAGGTCAACGAGCCAAAGACTCATTCAGAATGAGTAACGGGACGGGAAAGGCATTCTTTCTAGCTACGCACACATTGGTGGTGAAGATGCCGTAGATCAGATCCAACTCGGGCAGGAAGAAGGTGCTCTGCAGTTCGTTGTAGTAGAAGGGCACCTCTCCAGGCCGGGAGCAGTTCAGGCGGGCCTTCATGAATGTGGTCCAGGTGTCTTCCAGCAGGAACCGGCCTCCAATGTCGTTCTTGCAGACGCGGGCAGCTCTGGAGAACACGGTCTTCCCACAGTCATGCTCCACAGCATTTTCTCGGAAAAAGAAGTAGGTGAAATTTCCGATATCATAAGAGGACACGAAGTTTGGCTCTGGAAAGAACAGGAAAAGAAGAAGAAGAGAAAAAAAAATCTCATCATCCGAATAGTATCATTGATCATGCTTGCCTAGCATTTCTTCCAAAGAGACGCAGTTTGGTTTAGATATCATCTTCTCTTACAAGGACACATGAGAGGCCCCCAAAGAGGCTTAACCACCTGCTCTGCTCCGAAACCCAGAGTCATATACAAGTTGTAAATGACAAGAAATCCAACAATGTTATTCCATATCCAAGAATCCTGTGATAAATCAGCATAAAACATAACATGGCACTACAACCACGGCAGCCAAGGTTCACAGATCAAATTGCAACGACTTATATAACTTTATTTGGAAACTCTTGCACAAACTACAGAAACAGAGGGAAAAACAATACTTTAAAAGATGAGGGCTGGGAAGGTAGCTTAGTGATAGAGTGTTTGCCTTCCATGCATGAAGCCCTGGGTTTGATTCCTCAGCACCACATAAACAGAAAAAGCCGCAAGTGGTGGCGCTGTGGCTCAAGTGGTAGAGCGCTAGCCTTGAGATGAAGAGCTGAGGGACAGCGCCCAGGCCCAGAGTTCAGGCCCCATGACGGGCAAAAACAAAAACAAAAAAGATGAAACATATCATGCATTTGACTTTAACATGGTTCATGGATTTTAGTAAGAATTTAAAATAGTTTTCCTCAGTGACAACATAGTGAAAAACTCAGCCTGTAAGGTAAGTGCCTTGAATTAGCTTGATCATTCCAGGTCGCTACAGTGACCATGTAACTATGAGAATTAAGCATTATTTTCTTATTTCTGGGTTGCTGGGGAAATATAATGAGAGGCAGAAGAGTATTGAAATAGATCACTGCCATGAAGTTTTCTGGTCTCATAACTGGCTTGAGTCCCGAAAGTTAGAAATGATAAACCTATAGCAGCACCCTTATTTAATCATCAAACTCATTAGGTATTAGGAAATATAGATTATCAATTGAATTTTAGACATATCATTTGATGTTTTTATTCCAAACTTCATTTTTTAGTCCCTTGATGATATAACCTTTGGGCATATGACCTAATATTTATGTTTAAAAACTCTAATAAGACTAAATTTGATTCGTATCCCTTTCTCTAAAGGCATCAAAGTCATCTAACAAGTACCTTCATTTTATGGTACAGTTGGGATAATTATACAACTTTTCATGTTCAAAATTAATGGAAAGATACAAAAATAGTTCTATCTATGGACACATTTTCAGAGATAATTACTATATGAGAGCAATTCACCAGTACACTTGCTCATGTACATATGTGACTTGTTCTCAAACCACATAAGGACATCAAGTAACAGACAATTTCATCAAACATAGTCTTAGATTATTAACACATGAACCTGAAATAGGTACTTAAGTGAACAAAACAATACAAAAAAGAAAAAAAGAACAATTCCTGGCTGGACATGGTGGTGGTTGAGTTTAACCTGAGTTACTCTGGAGATGTAATGAGGAGAACCAGCAAGGAAAAGGGTAGCAAATGAATGTCAAAAACAAAACACAGAGGACTTGGGGTGAGCTCCAGTGATGGAGCTCAGCTCATCAGAAGTCCTACATTCAATCTCCAGAACTGGAAAAGAAAAAAAAACAACTTAACTATGGTAAAATGTGTACGTTGTATATTAGATGTATTTACTGTTCCCGCTATCCTTAGGTCTTTGAAGAGAGCACAGAAGCACAGTGAGTGACATCTGAAACTTGGGCATCCAGGTCATTTACAAAATTAGGATAGTTTAAAATCTATGCTTACTTTGAATCTCTCAAGGAGAATAACGGGCCGAAATAGAACCCTAACGCAAACACAAGGAACAACAACAAAATATACTTGTGTTATACACAAAACACCTGCTTGGATGTTTAGTTCTAAAGAGAAGGCTAAGCCATTTCAAAATGAGTGCTGTATCCTAGTTCATATAACTAGATTGTAGTTTGAACATTATACTAGAGACAAAAAAAAACCCATCATTACCATCATCAACATCAACAGCAGCAGCAAATATCTGGACATAAATATGCGCAGGTTAGAACTCTGAATATTAGTGCATGTCCATAAAGTATGAGGCAGTTGCTGCTGAGATTTCTAAAGTACCACGGCAAATTGTCCCTCCTGTTAATACTCTGGGGACTAGCAGCATGAAAGCTGAATGCTAAAGAGCTCTAGTATGTAAGGACGCTTGAGCAGGACAGTGAAACTAAGGTACAAAGAATTGTCAAGTACATCACAAAACACACAGAGGTTCAAGGATTCTTACTGGCAAGGCAAGTCTGTACTGCAATAAGGGGAGGTCGGTCATGAGACTATTGTTCTAAGCTGTCCATGGTGCTTATTAAACTCACAAAGCCAAGAGCAGCCAGTGCCATATGATTCTTCCCATTGTTTCATAGCTGAGGACAGGCAATCCCTGAGGCTCAATGCAATGACAAACAGGAATGGCTAGAGGATGTCCTGACCTAGACCTTCTTACCTCCGAGACCATGCACACGGCCGTCACACTGCACTGAAAAGGCTCAGGAGAAAACAAAGTATTACCCTATTACTACTGAAAAATAAGACTGAATTTTCTAGACACTGCTCTTGGGTGGAGAATCATGGCCTTTCCTTGAGGCCATGAGTGGAAAGCAGGTATACTCAGGCACCTGTGGAGGGTTTTAGAACCAGGAAGAGGGGAAGATAATTAGAGAAAGGAAACATTCACAGCAATGAAACAAAGAATGAGACAGAAAGAAGAAAAGGCTGGAGAGATTTAGAAAAAAATCAAGAACCTAATAACCAAGAGTGATTTGAGAAGTGTGTGGGTAACTCCAGGGCTTGTGCTTCAAACCTCCCCCTATCAGCTTGGCCTGCCATCAACTGACCTTTAGGAAATATTTATGACCACTGTCCACTCTGCGGAACTGTCTCTGGGGCAGAATCTTCACAGAACGGGAACAGTGAAGCATGAGAAGCTGTTTGGCCTGTGGCTTCCACCTTGAACACAGTTTCCACCAGCTCTTCCAACTTCTGAACCCACCTTGGAGGTGGCTGTGTCCATTTCAGATGGAAATGCTCACACACCCGTGTTCCCTGAGCAGGATAGATTGCTCCGAAATTCACCATGCAGCAGAGGCTGTGCTGGTAAGGGAACTAAACTGCATTTGGAAACCTCTTGCTCCCCCACAGTGACCCATTAGCATGATGATGGTCCCTGCCTGTGTGACCTGCTGTTAAATCTGAAGTTCTATTTCTTGGAAAGCAGAGTCTCTTAGACTTGAGCCAGCATCACGTTTCTTTTCAAAGACAGTACAAAAGCAGGAATGACTGTTAAAGAGACAGTCAAGGATCTCCGGTATTTACAGATATAAATCTGGAGGAAGAGGATGTTAGATTCTCAGCAGGCAAGACAGGAAATGCTTATTGTTTTCTTTCCATTATTTAAGTTCTGCCTCTTGTTAAAATGCAATTCACTCCAAACTACAATCTGTCACTCCTCAACAAACGGAACAAGCTATAAATCAGGCATTGCTTTCTTGTCTACAGTGGATCTGAGTATATGAAAGATAGATCTGAGCCATCTTTCAGATGTTTTTGGTCATTTGTTACAAACAAATGAAAAGTCTGCTGCTAACTACTTCAGAAAAAAGCCAAGAGTGATGCTACATCAGCTAATATATAAATATATGAACGAAGAGGCTGTTTTTCCTCTCATGTTTGAGCTCAGTGTTCTACAGAATTTTTCAGATGAATAAGAAGAATGATACATCAAGACACAGGCATTGACTACGTCTGCATTTACATCACGATCACCATGTGGATGGCAGAACTGCACTCCATGGAAACTCACAGAGTACGTGAGGGAAGTCTTCCACTCTATACGAATTAGCACAGCAATGGGAAGCTGCACTGGGTGCAAATGGTTCACACTCTGCACACTGACCAAATCATAGACAGGCTCTTGATAAGGAAATAGTCCATGAGAACAGAGAGTAAAACACAAAAGAAACCCCATTCCCAACACTACAAAAACCATACCAAACTCTACAAAAAATTCCAATTAATAAAAAGAAACCTCTGAATTTGAAACGCCACGTAGCAACTGGCTGGCCAAGAAGCTGGGAAGACTGGATGGAGAGCCCACGTGTGGAGCAGTTCTGCACAGCCTGACCCAAGCCAACACACTGATGCCACACATCCAAGACAACCACGTGACAGATGGGCACGGTGAAGACCCGTTTACAAGGCTGCAAGCAGCTCAAACTGACACACAATAAGATCACAATCAATGATAGCTGTTATTATTTCATGATTTCTCTCCGATGTTTCATTGAATAATAAACAATGACCAAACACAGGTACATTATGCTTAAAACTGACCAGAATTTATGGAGCATGAACACAACCATGCTAAGTTTGCAAAACAGAAAACTGTCACACAAAATGACATAGAGCCAAGGGAGAGGACTTCTGTTGCTGCATTTTTGGTGTCAGACATCATTAAAAACATTTCTATACCCCTCACAAATTGTCAACCCTCTTTCATAGTGTGCATTCATTTCCATGGTCACAGCCCTGTAGGAGCTTTCAAAGCAAGTCTAATTTCATTTGGGTTTTAGTAAGACTGCCTAGATTTACTTACATACTTCTATGTGGTTTGAAAACCAATGGTGGACTAAAAGCCTTTTGCTTTAATTTTTAACTGAAGCAGATAACACATAGATATAGATAGCTAGCCAGCCAGCCAGACAGACAGACAGACAGACAGACAGACAGACAGACAGACAGACAGACAGACAGACAGACAGACAGACAGA